GGCCATGGCTCACGGGCCCAGCCGCTCCGCGGCATGTGGGATCTTCCCAGACCGGGGCACGAACCCGTGTCCCCTGCATCGGCAGGCGGACTCTCAACCACTGTGCCACCAGGGAAGCCCCACTTTTGCCTGTTTTTGATATTTATATAAATGCAGCCACACAGTGTATGTTCTTTTGTATCTGGCTTCTGTTACTCAACAGAATGTTTGTGAAATTCATCCATGTTATTGCATGTAGTTACAGTTTGTTTGTTCTCATTGCTATATAGCAGGGGGTCAACCTCCTGTTTTGTGAATAAAGTTTTATTGAAGCACTGCCAGGCTAATTATTTGTTTTCCCTCCCCCTCCCCCTCCCCGTCCTCTCCTCCCTCCTCTTCTCCTGATGGCTTAGCAGTGGTGAAGTTTTATTACGATTTTTTGAGCAAATGTCAAGAGGAGAATGTAACAGAATTTTATAAAGGAATATTCTCAATTGAATCACATTCTATCAGGGTTTGGCAATACCTATCTGTGTGAAGATGAGATATATAAAATCTCAGTACAGATCAGCATTAGATGAACATTTGCTATTGATTTTGATCATACTTTGAACTTCAATGAAGCAAAATGTATACTCCCCAAAAGAATTTCCTTCTTCATATTAATAGACCTATATTATCAGAAACTGTATTCAATTATTATTTTGTTTTGAATGGTATCAATTTTAAAATTGTGAAAACTGTTTCTCTGTTGTGATATAATACCTGCATCCTACATAATAGCCTCAGTTTTGATTTTTCTGGCCCACAAAGCCTAAGTATCTACTGCATGTTCCTTTACAGAAAAAGTTTGCTTATCTCTGCTCTAGACAGTGCCCAGTACTAAAACTAAGTGTACGCGCAGTAATTTCTTTTGCTTGTTTCTGAGTCTTGGATAATTTTTTCCAACAGAGAGAAGCGCACAACTTTTCTCTTATGAAGGTTATGTTTTATACAGGGAAACCAGGCAATAAATAAAAATGGATAATAGATAAGGGAGTGCTATGATGAAAATAAGGTGATGTGATAAAGATGATGGGATAGAGTGATGGGGATGCAATTAGATTGGGTGGCCAGTGAAGGCATTACTGCGGAGGTACCTGAGAGTTAGGAATGCTAAAAAGGGGCCAGATGGGCAAAGAGTTTGGGGCAGACCGTAGAAGCATTGGGAATAATAAGGGCAGAAATCTTAAGACAGGAATGAATTTGGTGCTTTTGAGGGAAATAAAGAAGGCCAGTGTGGCTACGCCAAGATTAGAAGTGAGCTATAGTGAGAGGGCTGGCAGCGCCCAGGGCAGGTCTCCTGTCTGCCTCCTGCATGGATCATGAAGCCTTCAGGCTAATTTGTTTCTGTATTGTCTACAGCTGCTTTCACACAACAATGCCAGAGTTTAGTTGCCACAGAGACTGTTTGGCTGCCAAAGCTGAAAATATTTACTATCTGACGCTTGACAGAAAAAAGTTTGCTGACCCCTGCTCTATAGTATCCAATCGCGAGTATACCAGCATTTCTTCATCCATTTTACTTTCGATGGGCATTTGGATTGTTTCTAGTTTTGAGTTAATACAAATAGTGCTGCTGTGAACATTCTTGTACATGTTTTTGGTAACATGTGTACATATTTCTATTGGATGTATGGCATGTGTATTTTTTGAAACCTCTGATCGATTCTAGTGTACAGACAGGTTTGGGCACTTCTACTTCAGAGATGTTTAGAGAGTTGAAATCCAAAGTGTTTAAACTGTCGTGCCCCAGGTTACACAGAAAAAAACTGGCAGAGCTGAGACTGGCAACCAAACCCCTGTTTCATGGAACAGTGCTGTTTTTCCACTGTAGTTCCTATAGCC